AATCTAGGCTACACCAAATATCCCAACACGTGGAAGTTGACGTTCTAGCCTTGGTTTTATAGAACATAGCTCAGGACTGCAAACATGATTTTTAGCTATTTAATGCTCTGCAGTGAAAAGCATTCAAATGCATTATAAGTGTAGTTCAGCAGATCAACTTTCCAAAATGTTTCCTCCCAAAACTATCAGCAACTTTCCTCTCTCTAAAACAAGGTGAGCTTTGCAAGGCCACAATTTTAGCAATTATCTGTCTTGATTTTGGTGCTCACGTGGACCAGTTTTTAGTATGAAACAGTCCATGCTGGATATAGGACGAATAGGATCGAGGTACAACTATCAATTTGCATTTATGGGTGGTTTACTGTGCTGATTGATGGCACTGCCACTTTTAGATTGATTTTAAAAAATTAATTAACCCACAGTTCTGTGTGAAACGTACTGTATGCATAGCTTTCTAGCACTTGACTTAACTCCGTTCACATAAGCAGTGTTTACACTTCTGCACTGTCTTGCCACTGGGTGACAGCCAAGTCATGAAAACAAATGCCCCTTTCAGGAAATGGGAAGCATTATACACACTCTGAATATCAAGTGATTTAGGCAAAACAGAACAGGAGGAGGAGAAGATCGCTATCTCTTTTTTGACCTTGTTGGTATATACCTTGTGAGCAAAAATTCTACTTTGTGCACTACTGGCATGAAAGTTGTGACCAAGCAATTTGGCTACTGCATAAATTAGTTTACTCTGGAGCCATCCTTCCTGAGCAAAGACAAAAATGTGTGAGCCAGAGGCTAAAAAACTGTGAGCTAGCTCAGACGAACTCAGCTTAGAGGGAACACTGGTCACAACCTTGAGGAGATTTTCCCATATTATGTACGGTGAAAGCAAATCCCTGCCCAAACATCTGATTGGAACGTATCTCGTTAAATTTAAAGGTTGGGGTCTCAAGCTACACAAGTTTTACATTATTCAAGTCAAACACCAGCAACTCTGTTAATAAAATATCAGTCCTCTTTGCTGCACACTCTTGGTGTCTAATAAAAAAAGAAAAATTAATTTCAGATTTGTTTAGTTTCCATATAAAGCTACTAAAACATTCAGCTACTAAATCAAATAAAGATCAAATAAAGATAAAGATAAATAGTACCTCAGGAAAGCATTTTTATGGCACCAAGTATACAAATTAACTTTTTTAAAGCCCAGCTGTGAAGAAAAGTTCAAAAACATACTTCACTCAAAAGAACCTGAAACAGAGAAATATATCCCATCCTTATTTATCAAAACATTTATATTCCACCTTTCCTGGTGGTTCCAGGAGGCTTACAATAATAGTTAAAAGCATTTTCAGTTCAAAAGCAAAAATAAAACCCCAAATCTTTCTCCACTCCCTCACATATAGGTTCCTTCCTTCCTTCCTTCCTTCCTTCCTTCCTTCCTTCCTTCCTTCCTTCCTTCCTTCCTTCCTTCCCAGCCCCTATATCTATTTTCTTCTTCTTTGTTGATCTATGGCTGGCCCACCCTGTTACATTATTATATAGTTTGATGCTGGCCTAAGTCCAGGCACTTGAGGGAAGAGACAAAATCACCTGCTTATATACTTCTTCTGTAATGGCACACAAGAGGCTTTTGAAAGTATTTTATTTAACAAAATATTTTATTTAACTTTGAGGGGGAAAGGTCAGGTAGAATCAGAGGTAGGATGTATGAGGTTAACTGATAATAAAAACTGAGGTAACTTTGTAATCACACTAAATCTAGCTAATATATTGCCAACAAGTAAGTTTTTTTACTTTTCAACAAGGTCTTTGAAACGCTGATGAGGCTTTCTTCTCAGTTTCTGCTTTAACGCACAAGCACAGGTTTCTAGTTTTATTGACACTTTACGTTTTGAAGGCAGGAAATGTACAAAATCCTTCTCTCTACATAGACCAGGGATCACTGCTCTTTCCAGAGCTATCTCCCTTTTCACTGGGTGCTATCTCCCTTCTCTTAAATAAAAGCAATTTCCCTTTTTGGCTTGAATGGGGATCCTCATTGATCCACTCACTCCTTTTGCCACTTTCCCAGTTCACAGTCAGTGCTAAACTGTCTCTTCTTTAACTGTCAGCTCACGTCATTTCTTAACTGATGCTCTCCACAGAATTCTATTTGAACAGCCTGTCACTCAAAGGTTCTCAGGCGCTTTCTATAGATGGTATATTACCCCGGAGAAACTTGCTAAATTTGACTAGAATTGTTCAAATCGATGTCTGAAATGTCAAAATAAGGTGGGATCTTTTTACCATAGGTGATGGTTTTGTGACAAAACCAAAAAATATTGGGCCTGGATACATGAAACATTGCAGAATATGTTAAAATGTTCTATACCCTTTGACTAAAAATATTCTTGTTAAATATTTTACCTGAAAGCTGTAAAAAAATGACTCCTATTTGATTCTGTATGTAGTTACTTCTGCTAGAATTTTATATGCAAACTATTGGAGAAGAGTGGAAATTCCTACTAAAGAAGAGATTATAAACAAAATGCTGGAAACAGCAGAAATGGATAAATTGACTTTATTATTGAAACAATACCCAGAAAAAACCTTTGAGAATACATGGACAAGGCTCTACACTTGGTTGGAAAATTATAATAATTTAAAGCTATAGTCAAACAATACATTGGTGAGGATACAGAAAAGAGTTTTTGCTATACTGGCAATGAATGACTAAAATTTTTTGAGATGAACATTTGACCGACATGGTTTAGTTATCAGGCATAAGCATTATAATTACTTGAAGATTTCCCCCTGAGTACGTACGTATGTCTGTGTGTTGAATGTATGCATGGAAAATTTAATAAAATATTGTAAAAAAAAAAAAAGGTTCTCAGACTCTGTGAGGCATTAACTATTGATAGTCCATCACACACCCCTTAAAAGATGCCTGCCAATTCAGACTTTCTCAACAGCTATAGCAAACAGGCAGGCCTTGGAGTGCCTTTTGAAGATCTCCCAGGAGGGAGCCCCCCTCACCTCTTCTGGGAGCCCATTCCACAGAGCTGGAGCCAAGATGGAGAGGGCCTGGGCTCTGGTCAATGCCAGATGCACCACCCTAAGTTGTGGGATAGCCAGCAGATGGCTGTCTGATTATCATAGTTGGTACACAAGGACATATAGGAGATGGTCCTTCAGCTAGTGGGTCCCAGCTCGTGAAAGACTTGAAAGGTCACAACCAGCACCTTGAATTGAACTTGGAAACAGACTGGAGTCAATGCAGCTGTCTCAAAATAGGCAACATATGTTCCCAGAGGCTAGCCCCTGCCAATAGTCAGACTGCCGCATTGTGGACCAATTGTAGCTTCTGGGTTGTCCTCAAAGGCAGCCTGACATAGAGCATGTTGCAGCAATCCAGCTATGAGGTTAACAGACACATGGATTAGTATGGCCAGATCAACTGAATTTAGGTAACAAAACAGATGGTGAATTGGATACAGCTAATAGAAGGAGCTCCTGGTCACAATGCCAACCTGCTTTTCAAACAGCAAGGCATGGCCCATGAGACACCAAGCTCTTAATCTGCTTGGAAAAAGCCAACATCATCCCATCTAGCCCAGTCCCCCAGAAGTTTAGAATTCAGGTATAATAAAGGCTTGATCTTTTCTAAACCTGAAAAATGAATTTCATTTGCTTTTGACCCCACCTTTTTTGACCTCCACCCTATTTATTTATTTGTAACATTTACAAGCCCACCTTTCTCCCAACAAATGGAACCGTCATATATTATGCACATACATAAGCAATCAGGACACACTTCATGCATCTGATGCAGTGGACTCTACTCCAAAAAACTTATCCCACAATAAACCTTTTAGTCTGTAAAGTGCCACAAAATTCCTTTTTGGGGGGGAGGAGGGATTGCTATAGCAGACTAACATGGGTAACCTGCTGATTTTATCTGTGTACCAAATACACTGATAATCCTTGGTCCTTATGCAGCAGGTTTACATGGTATAAATTCAAACTATAAATTCTTACTTTAGAATAGGGTTGCCAAGTCTTCTTACCTTTGCAGCGGGGGAACCTCGCCGGGCTCCGGGAGCTCCTCGACGTTGCGTGCGCGCGCCGGCAGCACGTCACAGGAAGTGACATGCTACATCGCTCACGTTGAGGGCATGGCCCAGATCGTCAGAGGGAAAACCATAGAGTTTTCCCTGTGACGATCTGGGCCACGCCCCCAACGTGAGCGACGTGGCTGCGGTTCAGGGGGCGGAGTTTCCCCCAGGGCCCGATTCCACGGCGGCGGTAATCGGGCCTCCAAAGCGGGGGTTTCCTCGCCCCCACTTGGCAGCCCTACTTTAGAAAGAAGGCAGCTGAATTTCTGAAAAGCCATGTAGTGAGTGCAAAGCAACCAAAGTACAATGGTTAGCTTTCCTCCACACTGCTTATATGATTGCACTATGCTGCCTTGCTGATCCCACAAAATGACAGATGCAAAGGAGGCAAAGATAATAGCCAACACATCTTCCCAATTAAAAGGAAATTATCTGCTGATTCTCTTAAGCTTGCAGTTCTGCATGTATTGGACACAGAGAGTATTCAGAGAGCCATACAACTGTCTCAGAGATCTGAAATTATGCTTCTCAGACTACAACCCCTCATGCCACATGGCAAATCACTTTTGAAACTCAGAGAGTTTACTGAACAGTTTGTGATTTGGCATGAGGGAATGCTGTTCAGACAACAACAGTAACAAAACCCCATTTGGACATGGCTGAAGTAACTTATTTGGATTTTGGCCACGTATCCCAAAGTAAAGAAGAAAATAACTGATGTACGTTTCATACCCACTCACAACAAAGCCATCAGTGGTATAAAAAATGTAAAGACATAGAAAACATTGTGAAACATCTGGAGCCTCTTTCACTGGACATTCAACTTCGTAAAACACGCCTCTGGGATGCACTAACAGAATTTGCTAACATGTAAAAGACATTTATTTAAAAAATAGGCAAACTTACACCATATTTTCAGGTTCTGTTGCACAAGCTCCCACTGCTTTGGTAACATTGACAAGAAGAGCCTGATTGGTTCCAGTGAGTAAAGCAACCAGAGATGGAATGCCACCACATCTCCGGATGATGGTCCGATTGGCTTGTTCTTGACAACATTCCCCTAATGCTCCAACAACGTTTACAAGGACTTCTTCTGGCTGGTCTGTCAGCAGGCCAACCAAAGCTTCTATTGCTTTGTACTCCCTGAATCTGAAAGACAACAGTGGAAGATCAAAATTAATTTTTCAAGAATAATAATCCAGAAAACGTAGTCAATTCCCTTTTAAAATCACAATGTATGTTCAGATATCTTGGAAATTCTAAAAATACAAGTTAATCTTAAAGATCATATCTACACAACAGGCTACAATTTAGCTGTCATCACTTCCTCAACAATGCTTGGAACTGTAAGTTTTGTAAAGATGCTGAAAATTCTGATAGTGATTCTCTAGGCTCCTGTACAGGTTCTAGAACCTGTGAGGGCCCAGCCAAGACTGCTGTCTAGTTATAACACAGGAAGTATGCAGAGCCCTGCAGCCCCCCCAAAAGCTGGGCAGACGTGGGAACAACTGAGCCCTTTAAAAGCTGTGCTGCAGCAAGAGGGGAGGGAGGCAAGCAGTCTGTCAACAGGGAGTGGGTCAAGAGGTCATTGGCAACCCTGACTTACCACAGACCTCCAAGCTCAGTGACGAGGCCTGTGAGACCTATTGGGACACCCAAGGCCAGCCCGAAGTTTTTTTGTGCCCTAGGCGGGGCTACCTTCTGGCCCCCCCCCCCCACGTGTGCCCACCAATTAGGGGATTGTCAACCTCCAGGCAGGGCCTGGAGAAAAGGAGCATGTGCCACAGGAGGTCGCAGTCCAGACAAGGCTGAGGGGCCTTCCTCCAATCCCTGGGGGGGCAAGGGGGGCAAGGGAGGAGCCCAACTCTCAGGCAGAGGGGGCTCCCCTCCTCTCGCTGCCACGCCTCGTCCTCCTCGTAGGCCTGCCTCCCAGAGAGCTGGGCCGAGCCGCAGAAGAGCAGCCAGCGGCAGGGTGAACGGAGGAGCAGGCTTTTGCGCGTGGCGACCCAAGCCGGTTTAAAGAGCCACCCTTTTTTGTGACTGGGGAAGATTTTGGTGCTGGGCGGGGGGCAGTCCGGAGGGGCGGCAGAAACTCCCTGGTCTCCCCGCGCCCAGAGCGCTCCTCTCCACTCGGCTAGCCAGCTCCTGGACGTGTCTCCAGCTGCCTCACGCCTCTGCCTGGCTCGCCCCCTGCTGCTGGCACTGGCAGCAGGGCGAGTCAAAAGCGAGCGGTGAAGTGGCAGCAGGGCCAGTCAGATGGCGGAGAGCAGTGGCAGCGGCAGGAGGCAAGCCAGGCAGCCAGGCGCCCCCGGGCAGGCAGCGGCTGAGGCAACTTCAGTGCGCTGGTTCCCCACCTTGACGCCCCCTCCGTGCTTGGCCCTTCACTCCGCCTCGCCCTTCACCTCCTCAGCCACTGTGCCCTCCGCCAGCTTGCCCAGCAGCACCAGCGGGCCATAGGAGCAGAGCAGCAATGGCACACGGGCTTTTGGAGCCTCCCCTGCGCAGTTCGGCACCCCATCCAGGTCCCGCCGCCCCATCCAGGACCCAGCGCTCTAGGTGAATGCTTAGTTCGCCTAGCGGGTGAGCCAGCCCTGGGGACACCATAAAAGAGGTCAAGAAGACTGGCCCAGGAGTAAGAGGTGGGACACCTCTGCACTGAGCAAGAGTGCCCATGAAGAGGAGGCAGAACTAGGTGAAGGCACCTCCCCCCTGCTTCTGCATTCTGTGGCCCAGCAAGACTTTTTGCCAGGAGAAATGGAAGGTGTGATCAGTGTACTGGGGTTGTGAAATGTGCAGATCATTAATTAAGCATATTTGGACATCAGCATGGTAACTATAATTAGGCCTAAACTTCTGAACAAACATGACTATGTATAAGCCAGCCTTGCAACACCTAAATGTGTCTTAATTTGTACATGTCGTTCGTTCACGCGGCTTCCCACTACACAATAAGAGCCATGCTTGCTTTCATTTTTAAATCAAAAGATGCTACCTGAATGTATGAACAAGAAATTTAAAACATTGCTCATACTTGGTCACATTTTCTTTGCTAATAGCACACTTCCAGATTGCTCCTGTCACTGCTGCAAGAAGTTCTTTGTTTTCAGAATTCGCAAGTAAAGCAGCAAGGGGTTTCAGGCCGCCATGCTGTCTAACGAGGTCACGTGTTTCCTGATCTTCAGCACACTGCAGCAATTAAAAAAGTGACATAAGAATAAGCAAAGGAAAATACAAACTGGCATAAGCAAGCATATAAAATGCTAGTTCCTCTAGCAACAGTGGACACAGTCCTCTAAGTGCTAGTGCTGCCATGCAGTTTTCAAGCATTTCAACTGAGCTTGCAAAGAACTCCCATGTGAGCTCCACTGAAGGAAGGGAAAGGTTTTTACAATAAAACCATTAACAAGTTTTTGGTTTATTATGGGAAAAGAATATTCTCACATTTCCTTGAAACTTTTATTTGAAAAAAATCAGAATAATTTAGAATTATTCTTGAAAGAAAAATAATTTTAGTTTAAAAAATCTGAAATATATCAGCATAGAAAGTAATTTTAAACGTCACTCCAAGACAGGAACAATCAAGGGAGGTGCTCCCATTGCTTTCAGCAAAATGCAATTTGACCCCACCCTGAAGTGCATTTCTATGATCAAGTCTTTTGAATTCCATGGGAATTTCAAGGGGGGGGGGGACAAACCACTGAAATGGTGTGATGCTTAAATCCTGTTCAAAGTAACGGGGCTTACAGTGCACCCCTAAGCAGAATTATGACCTTCTACATTCACTGACTTCAGTGGACTTCAAAGGGTGCAGCTCTGTTTAGGATTACACTGTTAATCACATTTTGCTTTCTCTGTTGTACTCAACCTCTACAGTCCAAAGACACATATATTATACTCCTGGAGATTTTGGGGTACGGAGCCTGGGAAGAGCAGGGTTTGGGGAGAAGAGGGACCTCAGTAGGGTCCCCCGAAGCAGCCATTTTCTCCATGAGAATTTATCTCTGTGGTCTGGAGATCAGTTGTAATTCTGGGAGGTTTCCAGACCCCACCTGGAGATTGGCACTCCTCAATACAGTGTGAACATGGAGCTTCTGTGAAAGCCAGCTTCTCTATTGACCTCTCGCATTGACAAGTTCCCCATACTGAATTGAATGAGGAAGCCCATGCTCATGTACTACAGTTTTGTGTGTGTGTGCATGTGTATATAAACACACATGCAAAGGTTGCATAAAAGAAGCTCCTAGAACAGTCTGAACTAATTTAAGACCAGGGTAACAGATTAGCTGCTTACAAATATGACTGCAGAGCAATGTTCCCTCTAAGCTGTGGAGTCTTGTGAGCAAAAATTCTCCTTTGTGAGCTACTGGCATTAAAGTTGTGAGTGAGCAATTTGGCTACTGCATAAATTAGTTTACTCTGGAGCCATCCTTCCCGAGCTAGGACAAACATGTGTGAGCCGGAGGCTAAAAAACTGAGCTACCTCACGCTAACTCAGCTTAGAGGGAACACTGCTGCAGACACAAGGCTACTTTAGGTGCTCTGTAGGAGCTAACAGATTCCAGAGGGGAATCTATATTAGGTGACTTCCAACAAGCTTTTTACTCCAGTTTGGGCACTCAGTGGCAACAGATTATTTCCAAGGTTTCACACAGCACTGATGCCCACCCATTATCTTTCCATAATTTCCCTGTGCTTTTTCAGACCACCTTTGATCCAACATTTCCTGCCTATATGCAGGTGAAATGCCTTTGTCTTTCATGTGTTTGAGTAGGCGTTTGAGTAGGAGCTGCCACTACCGTACCATCACTATTTTACCATCATTACCAACTGGCCCTGGGAAGAGAGAACGACTGTGTCACGTGGAACTGACAGCACTGATTGAGTGTACCATCTTTGAGACGTCATCTTTTATGGAAGATTATTCTGGAACATCTAGAGCACTTAATATGTTGTAACATTGTAGTGATGGTTTTATATGGTTTTAACCTGTTTTTATGTGTTGGCTTACTCCTATCTGTGAGCCGCCCTGAGCCCTGAGCCCACGTTGCGGGGAGGGCGGTCTATAAATTGACATTATAAATAAATAAATAAACAAATGTGGAAGGTTTGCTGCAATTCCAAACGTTCCATGCCCTTTGGCACTATTTTCCCTGTCACATTTCCCCACAGCTGCCATATCCTCCCCTGCACCAAAGAGAGCTTGGGGAAAGAAAAAACAAAAACAGCAATAGCTAGAAATGGCTGGGAATTCAGAGAACCTAAGAGAGAAATTGCTATAATGCTACAACACTATAGCGATTTAGCTATTGCCAAAAACAAAACAAAAAAGGGTCCCCAGTGGTGTGTGTGTGTGATGGGGAGGGATGATAACTGCAGAGGAACAGGGAAGGAAAGTGCAAGGAACAGGGGTCATTTCGTAGAAAAAGAGCTAGGGGGACTCATTAGCATAACTCATTAGCATATGCCACACCCCCTGACATCACCGGAAGTGTGTCCTCCCCACAGCCGGCGGCGACCTCCAGCGGGCACCAGCAGGGAGAACAAAACAAAAAAGGGTCCCCAGTGGTGTGTGTGTGTGATGGGGAGGGATGATAACTGCAGAGGAACAGGGAAGGAAAGCGCAAGGAAGTCGGCCATCTGGAAGCTCTGTTACGACTGCACTGAATTGACAGCTACTGCAGCAATGGAAAAATCTACAGGGAATCGTTGTCGTGTGGAAGACCCCTTAGTCTACTGCAGATAAAACAGACACCTTAAAGACTTTTTATTCCAGATGAACTTTTGTGGGTAGGAGCCTACCTGTGTGTGTGGAAGTGGACTCTAGTCCACAAAAGCTTATGCTGGAATAAAAATGTGCTCTTTTTAAGCAAGACTCCTGTTTGTAATTCTGTAACTGAAGAATCTAATATTTTGGCAGTACTAGAAGCCAAATGCTAATAAACACAGTGGAGCTTTTTTGCCATGTCACAAAGTAGGTTACTATTCTCTTCCAGTCATTGTGAACAGTACACACACACACACAGAGAGAGAGAGAGAGAGAGAGAGAGAGAGAGAGAGAGAGAGAGCGCTTTTGAACATACCCTGCAAGGACATATTACCATGCGCCCATGCTAAGGTATGGAGTTTTTCATTCATGTAAATACTTATCTCTTCCCACCCCTCAAATGGTCAAGTTTGTCACAGGGAGTTGCACACAAGAAATCCAACCATGTTTACCTTAAAGATGGCACTAGCGCAATGCATTTGAAGTTCCTCATTATCGCTGTTCAGGTTTTTCACAAGGTTTTCAATCATCTTCTCGTTTTTTATTGCAATTCTGTAGCTCGGCTACAAGTGCAAGTTAAATGCTGTAAATTCCATTGTTAATAAATCAGATTGCTATCATTTACATTGCAAAGCACTACCATAAATCTTGGCTGGACCAAAACAAGCTTACACAGATCTCTGATATGGATTGCTCCCTAGCATATTTCAATATGCATATATAACAACATGAAATTTACTTTCCTGGGGTGGAAAGAGTCTGCTGAGGGGAAGGAAAAAAATCAGGCAGATCAGAGATCCTTGCACAGGATCTAACCCATTAATCTTCCACTGCAAGCAAGTTAACACCCACAAAACTCCTTAGTGTTGAAATTATGTTGCTTAGAACAGGACAGCTGTAGACCACGTGCAGCAGCCATCTACTGAGTCAAACTATTGGTCCGGCCAGATCACTACTGTCTACTTGGACTGGCAGCAGCTCTCCAGGGTCTCAGGCTAAGAAAGGTCTTGGACTTCACCTGCTGCCTGTACAGATGTGCTGGAATGCTTAATCTAGCAGACAACGGAGGCTTTTATAAGCACTTTTATGGTGACCGTTCCTTTGCCACGTTTTCATTTTTGCTAATTTTTACACAAACGTGCTGCAGAAGAAAATGCTAGTCAAAATGCTTTCAGTGGTTTTATTTAAAATGTATTTGACATATTACTACCGAAATTACTCTGTGATATATTTGTCCATAAATCAAATTTGAGAAATCAGACTTTTTTCAAGAACTGGAATGCGTTTTGGTTGGATCGCAGCAGAGGTGGCCTTTTTGTTTTCTGTAACTGTGGAGGTCCCTTACCTCAGAGGCACACTCCTGCAATGTCCCCACCACAGGGATTAACATATTTGAATGAGGAGACTTCAGCAACTGAGCCAGCAGGGGGATGCCCCCAGCTTTGCGTATGGCCTCTTTATTCCTGGCGCTTTTGCTACAGCTCCAGAGCGCCAAAGCCCCACAGCGTGCTACCTCAATATCTTTTCCCTGAAGTGGCGTGGGATGTGCTGATCCCGTCGTTCTGCAGCCCAACAGGCCAACCTGGTGCAAAACACAGATCAAAGTAGTGCAGGGGGAAAAACCAACTATCAGGAATAATACAGCTAGATTCGAGTCCAATAGTACCTTAGAGACCAACAAGATTTTCGGGGTATAAACTTTTGAAAGTCAAAGCTCCCCTCGTCAGATACAAGGAATAATACAATTATTTATACATTTTATAAATTCCCAGTCCAGGAACTGGAGTCATGAGCTTCAGTGTGTGCAAAAGGACCCTCTGCCCACAACAGCTGGATCAAGGAACACATTATTCTTGTGCAGTTGTGTTACACACTGATCAGACTCTGGACCATTTCAAAAGTGATGGTTATTACCTTCAAAAAGTGCTAAAGAGTCTGGGGACATGCATCCCTGTCCACAAAAACTATCTGTGCATATTTTGGAGAGGGGGCCGTCCTGTTGCATGCTGGAGATTCTCCCTGAAACATGGTCTGATAGAGGGGCCCCGGTTACAATAGTCCACCCACAGAAGCCCATGAATTCTACTGGATTCCAGAATGCTCTGGGGCATTTTTGGATTCCACACGTATTCTGTTGAGGCCACAGTGGAAACATGGAACATGAAGCTCCTTAAAGCTACTGACAAGGTTGCCCCTCATTGACCTCTCCTACCCTTGGAATGAAACCCAGGCCCCTGGTTTACCACAGAGCTGGGTGACCTGAAAAGCATTGGGAGACATCTAAAACGATACTGGTGGAGAAATCATGCTAAATCTGACAGATCGTGCTATAGAACACATTGTAAGACCTATGAAGTGGCAGTCTTCTTGGATTATTCATCTGCTCTAGACCCTTTTCACTGTGGCTTCAGGCCAGGCTATGTGAGAGAGGCAGCTCAGCTAGCTTTAGCTGATTACTTCCATCTGAGAGCAGACAAAGGCCATGCCTCTCTGATGCTCTTATTGAACTTATCTTTTGTCTTTTAATTTAAAAAAAAATTCTAGTCTAGTCTAGTCAGGGTAATGGAACAACAAGATATAGAGCCTTTTGTGTTTTTCAGGAAAAACGGGTTGTGTGGGTTTCAGGAAAACACGAAAGGCTCGACATCTGACAATAGCACTACAGATAAGATTAGAATTTCAAACAGCCAATCCACATACAAAAGAACCTCCTCAGGAAACAGGAAACCTCCTCAGGAAACAATCCATATACAAAAGAACCTCCTCAGGAAAGCTCCTCCATTAGCATGTTCATAGCCTGGGGAACTCCTACAAGATAATGACTCAGTTCTACCCCACCTTCTGGGGTAGATATAAATTACCTGCCTACCATTTTTCTTCTCACGGAAGAGTACTCCATCTTTCTGTGCTATACCACTGAGGATGCCAGTCGCAGCTACTGGCGAAACGACAGGTTCTATAATGCCAAGACCATGGCCACACAACCCAGAAATTCTACAGCAACTAATGAACTTCAGCCGTGAAAGCCTAAATCAACAACTGCCTGTACACATGCTTTCTCCATTGTGGCTTCTACCCTATAGAATGCCCTGCCCAAGCAGGTCAGGAAGGCTCTCACTCTCCTGGCTTTCCACAAACTATGCAAAACTTGATTAGTCAAGAGGGCTTTTCTGCACAGGTAAAAGGGTTGCATTGTGGGAAATGGTTTATAAACTTACTTGGATAAATGATTAGGAACCATGGTCTATACTGCTGTGTACAGCTTACTCTAAGCAGGATCTTATTATGTAATTCTGTCACTGCTTAATATGTCATGTTAATACTAGCATGTGCCAGTTCTTTCTGGTTGGTTCCAGACTTCTACAGTCCTAATGCATTGTTTATTGAATGTCCCATTTTTGTTGATTGTACTGACTCACTATGTGTAATCTGCCTTGAATCCTTGTGAAAAAGGTGGACTGTAAACAAGCAAACAAACAAATAAATAAATATTCCATCTCTCCAAGGGTCAAACCACATATAACTTAAGAGATGCATTTAGGCACTCTTACAGTTTTTAGCAGGGGTCATTTCCTGCAGGAGCACACAGGAGCGAAGCTCCGGCAGTAAAGAGCCCAAGGGGCAGGCACATGCAACAAGCCCCACCCCCTGCTCCCAGCAGCCCTCAGTAAGAGCAAGAAGCAGCCAGGTAAGTTGCAGAGCCCCCCCCCCCAAGGTCCAAAACAGTCCAGTGGCACCTTTAAGACCAAGTTTTATTCAGGTATGAGCTCTCCCTCCTCTGCGAGGACAGATCTGCACGTTCCCCCCCAATAGCTAGCAATCCAAAATTGTCCAGTGGAGCCTGAGCAGTGGGTGTTGCCTTCTGACACATTTCCGGTGATGTCAGGGGGTGTGGAATATAAAAATAAGTCATGCTAATGAGTTATGCTAATGAGCTCCTGCTCCTCTTTTTCTACGAAATTACCCCTGGTTTTTAGGAAGCTATTTAGCAGCCTGATGAGGCTACATGAAAGGCAGATACATGGTTGATGGGACCAACTATAGTTAAATGGGAATGAAGATCTCACCACTGTTTATCAAGACAGCAATTTTTAAAAAGATTAAATCAATTACCCAAAATGCTATTTAGTTATAATGGATACATACTAGTTTCTTGATTCCACCATGCTGCCTGACTGTTCTTCGTGCTCGTTTGAATCTGGCCACATTAGCTATTGTTTCAGCTGCCAAACATTTCAAATCTTTATCAAGAGAATCAAGTATCTTCACCATGATTTGTAAGCCTCCAAGATCAGCAATTGTCCGTCTGATCTGTGAATTCTGGCTTATTTCCTTCAGGATTTTCAATGAACCAATCTAATCAAAGGAAGAAATTCAGTTTGTAAGATTTTTCAGAAATGCATATAAAGCAGAATTACTAGTGTTTAGATGGTTTAACATGCTAAAAGTCCATTCACCCCACCATGATGTAGAAAATGCCATGATGGGGAAAGGTGCAGCAGTAAAAGCAAAGAAAATACATTCTTGGAGGACAGCTAGACTTCCTTCTTTTCTTTCAGACTGATTCTGGGGGAATTGGCCTGCTGCTCTGCATCTGTCTAACTACACTTTATACTTTCCCCACGGCTGGTCAACAGATATGGTCAGGAAGTTCCATGCTTTCCGGGCACCCAGGACCCTGATTCAGATAAAGAGACAGGGAGCTCAAGCCTTAACCTCCATTCCATTTTCCTGACATGAAATGGGCCTTGGGAGCCAATATTTGCCCCTTGTACTGACAGCCTGCACATTTACTGCAAGCAAGTTTCCCCAAAAGGTGTACAAACTAACTCACCTTACATTTGATTTCTTCAGTATCAAGTAAATTAATCAGCACTTCAAGTCCTCCAACATCTCTGATTGCCAACTGACATGTTTCTTGATACAAATTGAAATCTCTCATTGAACACAACGCTATTACAGTTGCCGTTTGGTTACCCGCCTATAAAAGGGAATAGTTAATATAATGTTGGTATAAATACAACATTTCATTATACAACACTACTGAGTAATTTAAATGTTGGTATAAATACAACATTTCATTATAAAACACTACTGAGTAATTTTTTTTAAAAAAACCCAAAACAGAGCAATCTAATGGCATTAGATAGTGATCATTTCTGTGTATTGCTTAGACAACATTTTCAAGGATTTATTATTGTTTAACAGTGATTAATATTAGTAGCAATTATACAGTATTATGTGTTTGCTGATAATCCATGATTAAGAATTAACATTTTAATGGTTTTAAGGTTATATGTCTAAATATATATTTTTGGACTGAAAGCTAATCTATTTGTATTTGGCGATTGTGTATTGTTTTGACGGATGGTCTTTGACTGTAAATAAACATCATTCATTCATGATTAAGAAGTTCAGTAGTTCAGTGTTATAAAGTTTAACTCAACACCCAAATACGCTGGTAGTCCTACTGTGACTATATGGAGCTGTTTTTGTCCAGGTTACACAATTCCTTTTGTCTAATGCAAAATATGTTTCCTATTTTCAACTTTTATTTTTTCCTACCTTTCAGATGGCAAAAACTATGATACATATTGTAAGGTAGCACAGTGAACAGCAGTTCCCTCTCAAGTAATGGGTATTTTTGCAGCTTTGTTTGCAGAAAATGAGACCATTTAAATTTTAAATTCCATAAACATACCAAGTAGTACGACTGTCTATGCTAACAGTGGCATCCTAAGCAGAGTTAGATCCTTCTAAGGCCGCAGTCTTCAATGGACTTAGAAGGGTGTATCTCTGCTAAGGACGCCCTGTGGGGTTTTCAAGACAGGAGATGTTCAGAGGAGGTTTGCCACTGCCTGCCTCTGCATCATGACCCTGGTGCTCCTTGATGGTCGCCCATCCAAATACTGACCAGATCCCACCCCTGCTTAGCTTCGGAGATCTGATGAGATTAGGGTAGTCTGGGCTATCCAGGTCAGGGCTACTGTCGTACAATATTCATCATATATTTCAAAACCAAGTTATTTCCCTGCGGTAAGTCCCAATTTATTTGGTATACAAAAGGCCCCAGTCACACGAGTGGATTTGGGCCGGGAGAGGGACGGTTCGGGGGCGGAGCAAACGGGCGCGATCCCACGGCAACATCTGGGAATTGTTGCCTGTCCGTCCCTGATCCGTCCCTCCCGCCCAAAACCCTGCACCAAAAAAGAGAAGAGAGCCTCAAGCCCAGCCATGGGATCACCGGCGCGTCCTTACGCCGGCGCATCCCCGGCTCCTGGCCGAACTGCACATGAGTGAGCATGCACAGTTCGCCAGCCTCCCCTTCCCACCGTCGCTTTCTCCCCGGCATCTGATCATGCCGGGGAGCAACGGCGCCGTGGCTCAGGGGATCCATGGGATCCCGCCACGGCATCTCTAATTCGGTGCGGCTTTTAAAAGCCGCGCTTTGGGCGCTTTTTTCCCTGCCGTGTGGCAGGTACCGAAAATATACCATATGTGTTTTTTCTCTTTTTCAAAATTGCTTATAAACTGCTGCCAGAAAATTAGCCACAGTCAAAGAAATACCAGGATCAGTATCAGCAAGCAGGAAAGGCATGGAAACAAGTAAAACCTTGGAGACTATCACCGCCTGTATCCACAGATCTCTCCAAGAGGCCGTCAATGCACAATGAAAGAACATATGGGATAAAGGTTGAATTGCCCCATACCCACATGCACATAACCTGAGCAGGTTACTCCCTGGAATCTACCCACCAAAACAGCAGAGAGGAAAGCATTTAGTCTGGCCAGAAGAAAAGCCCTCTGATTGAAAATGATAAGACAAAGGGTACGAGAGGCAGAGTACCATAAAACAGCATAAAGCGTACACTGCAAGCCGTGCTAAGAGCCAACTGGCAGTCTAGTGCCTCCAGTGCTCTATCTAAGGATAGTCTAGCAGCCTGTAGGCCAAGAGACAGTAGGACCTCTGCTGGGGTACAATAATATGGGACCCTAACAGGGTCAAGGGGATTGGAAACCAAGGTCCAGAAACTCCTAGTATCATTGTTATGTGCTGTTCATATAAGCTGGCGCCACTGACTGGCATAGTGTTTTGATTTCTTTAAGAAAATAAGGGCCTTATAGACCCTTTTCACCAATGGCAATCTATGCAACAATGCCACTGAATTAGCCCACTGCAAATAGCATCTGGCAGTCTGTACCTCTCTCTTTGCTTGCCTGCAGTGTCAAACCAGCCCCTATCCAATCTAGAGGAAGAGGAAGAGTCCCTGACATAAAGGCGTTACAATTGCTTACACGGTGTGTGTGTGTGTAAAGTAAAACCACAATAAAATATTTTTCATATGCTCTGACACATTAGCTCTAAGCATAAGCATTACTACTGGTTGCCACAACAATTATTTTTTTCTGTCCTAGTAGTTATTACAGAAAGGTTTCGAGGACAGATTTTAACCAACATGGAAATGGTTAGCGCTCTATTAAATGTACACAAAAGCTGCATCATGTTTAGTGCCTTTGAAATTAGATACAGTGTGTTGGATGCAAAATGAATTCTACTGGCATTTCAACAATCAAATTTTAAAAAGCTTTAAATTAAAGGCAGATTTTGTTTTGTAAAAGTCTACTCACAGGATGGTTCAGTATAAATAGTCACAAATTTAAATAGAAAATTAATTCTCAAAATAATGTGTGCTATCCTCAGAGAGAAAACTTTTCAAACCACTGTCAGGATACTATCTGAAGTTCAGCATTAAGGCAAATTACAATCAGTTGGATTTTTTTTAAAAAAATCACCCCCTCAAATAAATTATATAAGATTATTAATTTATTGAAAACATTTATTAGCCACCTTCCTTCCTTATGGAGCTCAAGGAGGCTTACAATACATGGATTCTTGTACTTTGTTCATCAAAAGGTTGAAAGGAACAATAGCAAGGATAAATTGCACAGTGCAGAAAAATTAAAGCAAGGTGTATTCCAAAACACATGCTACAGTTAGTACAAAGCAAATACAAACTACATCTGCATAATGGTTTCTCTTGTGAGTAGGGAGAATGACAGAAAAGATGCCTCTGCTGCTTCTTATAGAAATGTTTCTGTTCGTTTGCCCAATGGGATGAGCTCAAAAATTCTAGTCTCCTTAGAGTTCACATGGCTCCTGAAAGAACAGGATTCCATGCATTCTTTCCCACTTCCCTTCAGCTACCACTCCCTGATGCAGCAGAAGCTCTCTCTATGACACCTGGCATTGAGGAGACCATTAAACAGAGGCCCCAGTTACTCAGTATAGGAACATATTATTACAATTATATTGTATTATATCTTATAGACCTAGGGTTGCCAAATCTTTTTTCGCCGGGAGCGGGGGGCTCCCGGCCGGCGTCGTAGTCGTGCGTGCGCGCATAGTGCGTGCGCCGCGTGTGCATCAACCGGAAGTGACGTCACATGCTGGGGGTGGGGCCACGCCATCTGAGGGGAAAACAAAGAGTTTTCCCCTCAAATGGCGTGGCCCCGCCCCCAGCGTGTGACGTCACTTCCGGGTGATGCCCACGTGGGGGTGGGGTTTCCCCCGGGCCCCGATTCCGCGGGAGCAGAAATCTGGGCTCGAAAGCGGGGGAAATTCCGCCCCCGGGGGCATTTGGCAGCCCTATATAGACCATACCAACCACACACACCAAAAAGTTCCAGTGCTCTATGGTGCTTAACCGATTATGAAAGTAAAACAAAAAATTCCAGGTAGACTCTATTCTGATATACATATTGAGCCCTCATAAAGAGTGTTTAGATTTAGCATATCTTGCAAGGTAGCTGAGATCTGTCATAATGAGCTCCATTTTGATTGCACAGCCCAGATTCTGGGAGGGATGGATTACTACACCAAAGCAAAGAACTTTGCTAGACAAATTATGTTGCAAGTTTATTATTGTTGTTGTTCTTGTTAAAAATTGTTAATTCAGTTAGTGATGATGGCGTCCTGGTAATTTCTACCCCAGCTCTGGACTATTGGGGCCAGTTTCTGGGGCAGGGGAAGAGGGAACTCATAACAGCAATTCAAAGGGGGGGGGGGGGCCAGCCAAGAAAACCCAATTGCTGCCATCGACCAAAAGCCTGGTGGATCATCTCTGCCTTGTGGAATTCCATGAGGCCCTGTGGAATTCCATAAGATCCCGCAGGGCCCTCATGTCATTTGGCAGAGAGTTCCACCAGATTGGGGCCAGGATCAAGAAGGCCCTGGCCCTTGTTGAGGACAGCTGGACATCCCTAGGGCTGGGGATCACCAGCAGATTGCTATCAGTAGAGCACAAGGCTCTCCTGGGGACATACTGGAGGAGATGGTCCTGTAGATACGTTGGTCCCAGACTGCTCAAGGCAGTAAAGGTCAATACCAACACCTTGAACTTGACTCGGTATTCCACTGGAAGCCAGTGTAGCTGGTGCAGCACAGGTCAAATATGTGCCATCCAAGATGTTCTTGTCAGGACTAATGCCACCACATTCTGGATCAGCTGGCGTTTCTGGGTCAGTCTGAAGGGCAAGCCAGTGTAGAGCGAGTTACAGTAGTTTAGCCTGGAGGTGACTGTTGCATGGATTACTGTGGCTAAGTCAGGGTGCAACAAGAAAGGAGCCAGTTGCTGAGCTTGGTGAAGATGGAAAAACGGCAGCTTGGTGATATGCATGACATGGGCCTCCATTGATAGGAAGGTATCCAAAGTCACACCCAAGCTTTTGACAGATGACCCCAATATCAATGGGATCACATTCAGAGCTGGAAGCCTGAACTCCAATCCCGTCCTCCGCCCCACAGCCACAGAACCTTCATCTTCATTGGATTCAGTCTCAGCCTGCTCTTCTTTAGTCATCCCACCATGGCCTCCAATCCCGCAACCAGATTTTCTGGGGTGGTAGCCAGCTGGCCATCCAAGAGAAGATACAGCTGGGTGTCATCAGCATTTTGATGGCACCCAAGCCTGAAAC